GAAGAGTCTACCATGGGATATTGGGGTATCACCCTATGTGTGATATGCCACACATTCAAATTAAAACTTGATTAAACACAAGCTACAAAAATATCCCAGTTTTCAAGCAATATCTTTGTGGCTGATTGACCATTTTTGTGCCTGATAGGCCATTTTTATTGTGTGCTAATTACTTTGCTTCTAAATTTATTGTTCAATGAATCAATTGCACAATGAATGTAAAAGGTGTCAGAGGCCATACAATCAGATTGGCAGGCTGCTCAAGAATTGGCAAAAGCCTCAAATAATAGTACTTTTAGTACCATATTTGTATTTCACAGTGGTGACAAGTTCTGCTGATGCCCATTTTGCACTAAGCATCCACAGACAATCTCATGTTGAATGATGGACATAGACACTATAAAAAGGAAACATTTTATGTTTTTTTGGAGGCGACAAAAAAATTGGGAGTGTTTTTATGTATGTGGAAGAGAGCAAAAAAGGACTTCCCTTACTGTATTTGCCTTCCCCAGTGTCCTGTCTCTCTCAGTGGCAAATCCCAGATATTTCATAGGCAGGTGCAAGAATTATCATGTTAGAACATGTGGGATAATCTGTCCCCACATTAAGTCTCCTCCTAATTTCAATAGTGAGAGATTGGATTAAACGGTGTGTATCTACATGAAATGCTATGTTGCGGTAGCAATGAGCTACAGTGACATAGCTCATCACTATGTTGATGTAGCGTCAGTAGACACTAACTGTGATGTTGCCGCTGCTGTGCAGTAGCAATGAACTACATCTCAATAGCTCATTGCTATTGCATAATAGGGTCGAAAACAACCTATGCACTGCTGGGACTGCACAGTACTGGCAGGTACTATGCAGTCAGGGCACGTGTAGATACACCCACTGTGTATGTAACATGAATTTAAAATCACTTCTAAGGTTTTTATAGGATTAACTGCTATAGTTTGGATATTCTTGTTGATTGATGCGTTATTAAATCATGCCTTTTTTACCTTAATGGCATCCTGTGATGTTTTATTCCATAGCTTAATTGCATGTTGATTTTGAAACTGGACCTTGGCATTTATGTAGGATAGGATGAGGGGCCCATGACCTGTTTCTTCCATTAAGCCTTTGGGCACATTAACAAAATTGTGTGCCTTCCCAGACAGAACTGGATCACAATGAAGACAGATATCTCAGGGCTTACCTACCCTGTGATGGCAGCAGGCCCATGCCCCTCCCATCTACTGCGAAGGCAGAAGTACATCTGGGGTTGTTCTGGGCTTGCTTCAGTAGCTGCTCACAAGAAACCCTGAGACAAAAGCTGAGAATGACCCTGCTGGCTTTGACAATAAGGAAGGTTGCAGGCTGGATGTGCTCAAGCTCACTTCATTGGGCTACACCACTGCCCATCCTGGATCACTTAGGAGCCAAGAATAGGAGCATAGGGAACCTTTCTGGCTAAAATGGAGATGCATAAGGAATATAGATATCTTAGCTGAATTTGAGCTTTTGCACATGGTGAAATAGGGTTGCTTTTAGGTTCATGAAAATTATATATGGGACATTTCAGATATCTTAAATGCAAAATAGGATCTAGGCCTAAAAGGCTATGGGGTAAATCATGCTGATGTAATTTCCACTGAAGATAAGTCAGTCAGGAGAGCTGCACCAGCGCAAATGTTTTCTCTCTCGATATTTCAAAAGCACCAAATCACTATAGAATTAGGTGTAAAATGCTTGATACTTCTGTACTCAACAATTTTTTTCCTCTTGTTAGTCATACAGAACAGCAGTGGGTAAGAAAAGGTGAGCAGGACTCTTTTTTGGTATATTAGCTAAAGAATTGCTTGGCAAGTTTCAGTTAAAGATTCTTTAAATTGGAGGTGATGTTACAGCCAAATTATACAGTTTGACTTTTGTATCGCAGCATCAGTGTGCAGAGGAGAAAAAAAGTCTTTTCACTTTTCAATGCAGCAGTTTTTTATGTGGAGACTGTAAAGGGTCAGGAAACACAATCTCTTAACAGAATTCCTTTTCACAGTAGAATCACCTTGAAAAAACACTGCTAATTTGCAGTAATTGAAATAACAGATGCCAGTCAACTAATGATGTCCTGCCACAGATTCAGGTGCTTCCTAACTGAATTTTATCTTACCTATAGCAGTCTCTGGAGGGTTTAAGTACCAAGTGTAGAGGTAACCCTATCTTATTTTTCTTATTGATAAAATATTTCCTTGTACTATCCCAATAACATTCTTTGGAGTATGAAGTACTTAGTTTGTCCCCAAAAAATGAACTGTGCCTCAGACTACCAGATTTTAATCTGTTAGTACAGAATTAGAAATGCAGGTACTCAGATTTTCACCAACAATTCAATTATGGACACAAACTTTTGTATATTTGTGCCTGAAACAATGATTTATGAAAAACTGACTTTCTATCCTTTGAAATTCTTCTCTTTTTTGTCTGCGCAATTTATTTAGCTGAAATTATTTTCCACATGGATCTACATATAAAACAGTTGATTTGATTGATTTGATTTCTGTGCCATCCTCCCCAAAAAGGCTCATTGCTTTTGACAATAAAAAGTCATAAAACAGATAAAATAAGAAAACAAATCCCCCAAATCTCCCAAAGCTTAATCCCACCTGTTAAAGGCCTGCCCAGATTAAAAGATCTTAATGGTGTTTCAACATTGAAGTGACCTAATTTTATGATGAGGACACACCTGGAGTTTACATATATAAGTCATATATTTTACATGTATAAGTCATAAATAAAGTTGTAGCTCCTCATCAAATGAAGTGACAAGGCAAAAAACAGAAAAATGAATAACCGTCTAAAAATAAGTACTAACACCTCATCAGCAACTTGCATTTGTGTAAAAACAAAACATAGTCTCCCAAAATATAAGTGTTTAGGTGTATCTTTATATGCCTATAGCTTAATTCGAAGTTTCTCTTTGTTGTTTCTTTATACTTGAACTATTGGAACCTCTCTTGACTTTGTTTTGGCAAAAAATGTGAATTGGCAGCTAGTTTATAGCAGGTTGGACCTTTTTAAGGGGCAATAGTTAATTTGCATGAGTAGCCATCTAAATTCATTGTGCAATTAACAAGGTAATTTCACAATATATATAATGTTTAGGGGGGCACTAAGATTACTTGAATATTTCATTTATTTCAGTAGGCATTGGATTGAAGTTTTGTCAATCCAAAACTGATGTTAAAACCTCTGAAGATCATGGCAAAATTCCTATTCACTCTATCTAACTTGCTTTCTTAGAACTGACTTTAATTGAAACTACTTCCATCAGGACATGTTTATGTAATTCTCTCAGTGTTAATATAAATTATTGCCTGCATAAAGAGAGAAGAATAGACCTTGATGTTTCTGCACCATAATATGTAATGATATAATAGAAAGATCTGTTAATATTATTTTCTGTATTTCAGGTTTCTTTTCTCCATGGAAAACTCCAAAGCCTGTAAGTTTTCTTTTAAAATTATACTAATTTAAATCCATATGTTTACTGTCATTATAAAGCAAAGTTCTTTAGGCTTTTATCTTATTTACCTGCCATAACTATTATTACATTTGATTGTTCTTTGCTGGTTGACTCTTATGCCCTGTAAAACAAGTATCATTGCATATAATAACTATAGATTATTATATTTAAGCCCCCTCCCCTATCCCCCATGGTATGTACTCTTTCTATTTTTAAGTGCATTCTTTCCCATAAATCTATCAACACCAAATATTTAATTAACAAAGCTGCATCATTTCCCATCAAGGCTATGTCACCACACAAATGTAAAAGCAGTAGTTTCCTTTGAATTTTTAAGTAAGGACTATCAATTATTAGAACCCAATATCTCTTTTTTAGTTGATCTTAATGATACGTGTGATAGTAAAGTAATCTCCTAGAGAAAAATGTATCATAATAACCAGTTTTGAGAATGTGCAATAGAGTGAATATGCTTTTCTGTACTACTGCTTATGCAATGACTTATTGCAAACCTAAGGGGACAGATGCCTTCAAGGAAAAATTGTATTTTGTTAGTGCCCAGTTTTTCTCCCATAACATTTTTTTTATAACATTCCCAGTACAAAAAATACTTTTAAATTTTAGATTCTGTCTGTCGTCTCTCCGGTTTATCTCTTTGGATTGTATGCTCTTCAGGACTGTTGTTTTCGCTTAATGTAGGTATGTGCAGAGCATATCAAAATGGGATCCTGAGCCCTTACTCTGAGCATACCACCTCAAATACAACTTGAATACAGCTTTCAGTACAAAGAGCAAGTGTTCTTTTAAAAAGTTTACTGGTTCACAGTTCTGCTTTGGGGGAGTGTAACTATGAGCCAGATCCAATTGATCATACAGACATCAAAACTTAGGCCTTGGAATGCCTAAAACTTAGACACCTTCCCTAGTAGGCAATGTAATTTGACCTGGCTTAGGTGCCTAGATCCTTATACATTCAACAGGGAAGCTTAGGTGCCTTTGCAGTGTGATTTTTGACCACATGTAACTACACAGGCACACAACACTGAGAAATGGTAGAAGCAGGTGTCTCCAAGGATGACCCAGTAATCCTTGAGTGTCTAGTGGTAGGCAGTACAGGAAGGTTTTTGAGCTCCTTCCCTCTCCAGAGCTTAGGCACCTGATGCGGGCTGTACTTTAGACAACTCCATTCATTGAGGGTGCAAAAAACCTAATCCCACTTCCACTAAAAGGAACTTAACTACATGGTGTATTCACTTTGTTCACAATGACCTAACAGTTAGAGCACTCCCCAGGAGATATAAGATTTGGATGTTATGCCCTCCTCAGCCTGGAGTGATTCAAGTCCACATCTACAGTTCCTAAGAGTGTACTCTAGCCATCAGGCACCACCAGGTGAGGGAATGATGGAACATCTTGCCTACCACTTCTGTTCAAGCTGTACAAATGGGCAGCTTTGAGTGCAAGAGGCATGGGGTTAAGAAGAGAGCAAGCAAGGGGGAGCTTGGGTTTGTAGTCCAGGGAGGAGATCTCTCCCTTGGCTGAAAACATCTGAGTTCCAGTGTCTGTTCCCAGGACTCTACATATTTTATATCAGGCAGTCACTGGATTAAAAAAAAATAATAATCCTGGGAGCAGAAACCAGACTCCATGTCTCCCATTCTGGATTTAAACACAGCTTAGACAGGACCTAGACACACAAATGATGAAGCTGGATCTCTTCTGAGCATTTCCAGATGCCCAAGTGTAGGCATAAGAAAAAATGTACATCCAAAGTGGAGGCATCCCTAGAAACCTGCCCCTACTATCTGGACAACCTTGTCTTTTGTGAGATTGGAAATGTTAAGACTCCATTAATATTCCATGATCCAAAGTTCATGAAATATCTTTAGGAATAGATGAAGATTTGATACAAGACCAGCTTGTGATGATTTGAATGTAATATGCTGACCTGCCACATTATTGTAACACACAAGTTTGTCCATCGATCTAAATAGTATGAGTAATAAGGGTTGTCTTGACTGAAACTTCTTATGCAAGCTCTTTTAGGAGCAAGTTCCCTTATCTCCTTCCAAAACAATTACTTTGGAGAGAAGTTGATTTTAGGAGGAGATGAGGCTCAGAAGTGCACAAGTGTAAATAGTGATCCAAATCAATTTCCTTGATTCATCATTAATATTTTACCTTGCTAGGTAAAATATTAATTAGTTACATGCTTGTATAGTGTCTTGAAAATTAAGGCATTATAATGCCAGGACACAAATAAAGACTCTGCTTATAGTCAGATTGGCTGCAGTTCTTATTAAATAATCATCTGAAACAAATCCATCAAAATTAAGTTAATTAATATTTGTGAATATATAATCCTCCTTGTATCCAACACTTTGTGTGGCTGTCTATTGTAATAATATATCCAAAGTAAATAGACTGTGCTTAATCTGTAGCCTCAGGCACAGCTATTCATAGCTAACCAGCAAGCAACAGTTTTGACCACTGGTGGGATAGTTACTGTCCTGAGACCCAATAATGCCTACACTAATCAATAAACTAGTTTATTTCCTTTCTCATGAGAGAGCAAAGCTTGAAAATGCAGTTCTTTAATAGTTTGCTCTTCAGAGATACTTATGTTCCTTCCCTTCCCATAGCCTTCTATTAAGTCCATTTTATTTCTATCTGGTTTCTCATTTGAAAACTAGTGCTTTGTTTCTCTGGTTATTTTTTTAAAAAGCATAAATAAATTAGGTTTTAGATAGATCGAGGTCTTTGGGCAGAATTCCAATATACTTTATGCACTGGACGGACAGTTTGCCAGCCATGTAAGTGGTATTTTGGAACTCATGCACAGTTTACAGTAAGGATACAAGCTGATGTAGATATATCAGTTGAGTTGCATCAGTGCAGATGAATGCAGAATCTTATCTGTCTACATATAAACATCCACACGGCTACTGAGCATAAATAGTAAGCTGTGCACTGTCTGGGCAGTGATGCAGCTCCATATGTGTATATATGCACAGGGAGAAGCTCACAACTAGCAGGTGTTAGAGCAATTTGGCCTTCCCATTTTTTAGCCCCCAATAGCTGACTAGCTAGGACAGGTAGCAGAGGAAGGAGAAGGCCCTCCCAGTTTTTAGTCCCAGCAGCTGAATAGTTAGGGCTCTGAAGCAGGAAACCAAGGCTCTAGACTTCTCTGATGCAGAAGAGGTTTGAACTTGCTGTTTTCTGACTTACAGGTAAAGTGCTCAAACCACCAGGCCATAGGTTAGACCAGGGATGGGCAAAATACAGCCCATGGGTCAGATCCGGCCCAGCAGGCCATTCTATCCAGCCCCGGTCGGGCCCCTAAAAAAATTAGAAAATTAATATTTATCTGTCTCTGGCTTCCTGTCAAAGATGATAGCAGCCAGGGACAGTAGGACCCAGGGGGAGCTGGCAGCAGAACTAAGCAGCAGCAAGTCCACTATGTTCCAGGAGCCTGGGCTGCTGAGGCTAAGCACTGCCGGGCTCCAGCTGACATGTGGAGCCACCCCAGCTCCCAGGTGAATTAAACTGGGGGCTGAGGAATTGAACAGAGAGCTGGGGAATTGAACCAAGGGCTGGGGAGTCAAGCTGCAGTCTTGAACCAGGAGGTCCCTAAGCATTCCCCCAGTTCCTGGTTTGATTCCCCAGCTTCCTGATCTTTCCTCCAGCTCTTCCCAGGGGAGGCAGGCTCCCAGATGATGTGGGATGATAGCAGGCTGCCACTGCTAGCTGGGGATGGTGGCAGCTCTGGGCTATTTCCCCAGCTGGCAGCAGCAGCCTACTAAAACCCCACACACAGATCCAGGGACCGCACCCCCCAGCAAGAGCTGGAGGAATGATCAGAGAGCTGGAGAATCAAACCAAGATCTCCAGCTGATGGGTGGAGCTGAGGCTCTGCCCTGCTGCCTTGCCCAGCCAGCACGGGAGGTGGGGGTGCAATGCAGGCGCAGCTCACTTCCAGCAGCACCAGTGCAGAGCCCCTGCTCCCAGCACTGCCACACCCACATCCTGCACACCCCACCCCCCTGCCCGAGTAACGAGCCCCTCCTTCCCCGGCTGGGCAGCTTGTCCCAGACCCTGCCCCAATCTCTCCCTCCCCAATGCCCCTTTCGATTCACAGTTGGAGATTTCGTCCCTAAATCAGGCTGAATCTCCTCCAAATCGAATCAGCTACCAACGTTTCACACAGCCGTAGTGCCGGAGTGGTTGGCAGCTGGGCTGGGGGGGCAAAGCAGGGAGAAGAGGCAGCGAGCAGGCATGCAGAGTGCAGTGACAGCTGGGTGGGAGCATGAGGCCCGTGCCAGTGTGCTGGGGCCAGCACCGGTAGGGCCCAGAGCAGGGCAGCAGAAGCAATGGGCCTGGCCTTGCAGGAGCATTGGAGGGGTCTCTGCATGCTGTGGGGAGGGAGGGGGTCTGTGGGCAAACCCTCCCCTTCCACACAAGCCACAATCCTTCCCAGCCACCCTCCCCCCACACAGAGCCCCCCAGAAAACCCATACCCACCCACACCCACATCCCCTGCACCTATCCACCCCTCCACAAATTACACACACACACACACACCCTCCACATACCCACAAATGTATACCCACACTCCCAACCACACTCTCCCACAATATGAAAGTGTCAGACTTCATTTTAAGCTATTATATTCAGTCACCTCTATGTACACTACACAAACACATGTAAATCAGGAAAAATATATTTTTCGAGATGAAATTAATAAATGTTGTATTCCATGTTTGACATTTTTAATATAATTTGGTCTTTTTCTGGTTCAGAGATGGCAAACCACCTTGCCAAGGAGTAATTCTGGGGGGGTAAGGGGAGGGACTTCTGGTGGCAACGATCAGGGGTTAGGGGTAGGACTTCTGATCCCAAGATGGTGACCAGGGGGCAGGGCATCTGTTAAGAGGTGGGGCTACCCATGCGGCCCTTGATGAAGTGCCAAAATTTGGTAA